ATTCATTCATTCATTCATTCATTCATTCATTCATTCATTCATTCGATTTATACAACCACCCATTTCACAATAGTGGCTCTAGGCAGTGTATAAGGGTTAAAACAACAACAGCATCTAACCCATGATGCTCAGGGTTGACACAGTAAACCCCAAATCATCCAAACCACATCACCAGCAGAGCTCACCTAGCCTTCTGGCCCAAAAGCCTGGGGAAACAGGTCTTCAGAGCCTTACGAAAGCCTAACAGGCTGGGGACCATCCAGATTGCCATTAGAATGCTGTTCTACAGAGAGCTCTGCTACTCCTTCTTTAGAAGGAGGGGAACATAGAGGCTTTGCTGGGTGACATCACTCACCTCTGAGTTCTTGAGTGTCATCTCAATGCTGGCAGCTGGTCCAAAACCAGTCAGAGACTTAATGTGAATCTGTGTGGGTAGCGGTCGCCTGCACTGGCAGTAGACTGAAAATGCCAGAGATTTCAAGTGCTGAATATAAAAGATCTGCTCGTCCTTCAGGGTCTGCAGCATGTATTGGCAAGGCACAATCTAGAGAAACAGCCAAGCCAGGATTAGAAAAATAAGCTAGGTATGTTTGTCCAAAATATAGAGGCCTTGCTATATCACTCAGTTGCAGCCATAATACAGAGCATTTATGACCCCTTAAAGATCAACAAATGGAATATAGCATACGTTATTGCAGAAACGTAGAAAGGTAAAAAGGCCAGACACCAGATGAAGAAACTACTCAGGGCAGTAAGAATAACTAAGATCACCTTGGGAAAGGAAATGCTATAGATAGTTATTTGGCATGTATCGCAGCTCTTAAACTGTTCTTCTACAATACAGCACACATTTTGCAGCAATCTAGGGAAAACTCACTCAAACTTGTTTGAGATGCAATCATTACAATGATCCAGAGATAATCTGCTATCAAGAAAAGAGTGCTATTAGTCATTCAGAAGCAATTTTCATTAGTGTGCCTGATGCTTTTCCAACTCTGCTGTCTTCATGACAGCCTCCAAAATGCAAGTCCCTTTCAGAGAAGTGACAGTTAAGTCTGGTTCTCATAAACAACAGATGTGATAGGAAATGTGTATCTGGATTGTTACACTTCAAATTGTAAATAGGAATTCAGTGCAATAAAACCCTCCTTTCTGCAGAAATCCAAAATAATATAAATGTTTCCATATAGATGAAATAGATGCCAAAGAGAAAATCTTAGCACAGATATCTTCTGTAATATTCATTTTCAATATGGAATATTTTTATCAGCTTCCAATATGGAGAAGCTCTGACCATTTTCTGAAGTATTATATTGCAGGTGCATACCTATTATCTAAAGTATTATATTCCAGACTTGAATTTACTTTCGCAATTGCTTTTGAGAATTCTGCTTCAAAGTCTCTTTTCTTCACTTCACAAAGGATAAACCTTAAACTGACTGCAACCAGCAGCTTAAAACTTCTTGGATATAAAAAAACAATCATGTATTTAAATTGACCATCTTTTTCAGAGACCCTTTTCTCCTTGTCTAGTCACAGAGAAAGTAGAAAGGTATTAATCTCATCATACGCAGCCACATTCACAAAGGAAATAGAAGTAGCAAAACATCCTCATTTGAATAGTGATGCGTGATTATTATGCAACATAATTATATGAGAAGCATGGCATATTTCTTGTCCCATATTACATAAATGTGATTTTTGTTCCCAAGGCTCAATAAAGATGTGTAAGGGATGCATTGTTTAAAAAATAACTTGTGCAAGTTGTGTTTTCAGGATGAATCTCGAAGAAGAAAATGTGCTACATTTAATGCATCTTATCCATTTACTCCATTCATTCAGCTTATGTACCACTGAAAACACAGGCCTCCCAGCAATTTTCTACAGATAGAAACATCCATTGTAAATAACATGATGACATCCATGGCAGGAAAAAAAAAGAAGAAGATCCAAACAACATTT